TTGTTTAGTTCATTTTATAGCATCCCAGTTCTTTAAAGACCTTCCAATGGTGTCTTCTTCTTGTCTTTATTGAACTTCATCTTAACTCAGGATGAACCATCACAGCCTCAAGCCACACCGTTCATTGCACTGACATGCAGAAGTTCAGCAGCTGAACTCTATCAACTGTAATTTTGTCAAGAAAAGTTTTGCCAAATTTATGTTTGTCAGGTTGTTTTGAAAGCACAGGGTTTAATAAATTATGAACATGATAGATTGAGACTTCTTTTTGTTCCACTTTTTAGTTTTCTAATCTATAAACATAATCCACAAATCCATGAGATTAAATTTGATGTTTTTAATATCATGTCCCATCAATTTACATGAAAACTGAATGCGGGTACAATGTGTACATCAGAAGAATAAAATCCAACCACCCCAAAGTAGGGCATTCTCATTGTGCTCGTATATATTTGTCCTCAGGCCTCCTGCTTTCTCAGACTCTAGCCATTGCTTAATATTTATCTGGAATTTCTTCAGCCTGACCTGAATTTGACTCTTGTGTGAAACTGAAGAGAGCCAGAAAAAGTGTGCAGTGTTATGCAAAATCCATCAGACAATCCACTTCAGGATATTTCATCAGCCTTATTTATTTATTTCCAAAGCATAATTTAAGAGGTTCTGCCATCTATACCTTCTTGTTTTGCATCAGAATTTATTTTTAGCTAATTGTTTTTCTTAAATGGAGGTTTATGAACTTTTGCCCTTGGTATTGTGAATTGTACTGATGTTGTTTGGGTAATACTGATGAGAAGACAATTCCTCACCTCCACCCTTAGTTGTGAAGAGGAAAGTGGAAGGGAGTAGGTTAGAAAACAAATAGAAGGTGAAACTTAAGATCGATATTTATTTATTCATTCATTCATTCATTCATTCATTCATTCATTCATTCATTCATTCATTCATAAAATTTATTGACCACCTCAATCTTGAGGGACCATGTGAGGTAGTCAGGGGAGACAAAAGCTGCTTGCCTGCGGAATTTTAATCTGTTTCGTAATGCCTAAGGAAGGTAATCCTTCTTTTCTTTTTCTTAGCCTTCCTTCTTTCTTTCTTTCCTTCCTTCCTTTCCGCTTGAAGGAAGAGGGGAAAGGCGAAGGTATGAATTAGTATCTTTTTATAAGAGAGTAGTTTGTGTGAGAAAGCCAGTTTGGTGATTTTAAGGCATCAGACTAGAAACTGTGAGACTATGACTTTTTCTCACTCCTAGGAAAGAGGCATTAACAAACCATTTCTGAAAAACCTGGCCAAGAAAACCACAGGGACTTTTATAGGCAGCCTCCAAGAATTGAACACAATTTAAAAAAAAGTTTTACATGTGGGAATATGTCTAATAGCAATTTAAAAGTGGAGTCTAATATCATTTACAGTTATTTTAGTGTATGAGCCGTGGTGGCGCAGTGGTTAGAATGCAGTACTGCAGGCTACTTCTGCTGACTGATTGCTGCCAGCAGTTTGGCAGTTCGATCCTGACCGGCTCAAGCTTGACTCAGCCTACCATCCTTCCGAGGTCAGTAAAATGAGGACCCAGATTGTTGGGGGACAATATGCTGACTCTGTAAACTGCTTAGAGGGCAGTAAAGCACTGTGAAGCAGTATAAGTCTAAGTGCTCTTGCTATTAATTAATAATTACTAAATACCATTCAAGATTACTTTTTTTTTTACTACTAAGTGATCATTTGAATTGAATGGTTGTTGACAAGACCTCAAAAACATGAAATATTTTATTAGCGACAAGGTTAAAAGAGCAGTAGTGGTAGATAAGCTATCTTTGCTATCAAGTTTTTCCCCCATTAAAGAATCTTCCCAAATTTCTGATACAATATTTTTCTTTTATAAAGAAAACATGATGTTTTGAGAGGCAGTATAAAAGCATTTAGGTTGTTATGCTGCAAAGGGCAGGAAGAGGACAAGGTATGGAAAGCAGAGTTGTGATTAAACACTTTTCATTGTGGTTCAGCTGGTAATTCTCTCTCCATATTGAACTCCAAAAAATCAGTTACGCATGTCTATAGAAAAACCCAGCTGTGATTTCCCTCTCTTCCCCCAAATAAGCCCCACTGAATTTAACAGGAATTCCTAGGTAAACCAGCAGTAGGTGACTTGGGTAACAGCATGCATATGGGGAGAACAAATGTATTGTAAAATGTCAAAATGGAAATTGCTGGACTTGCCTAGACAGCAGAAATGGGAAATGGATGATCTTAAATGCAATGAGCTCAGCCACTGATACAAAACAATGACTGCAAACATTAAGTGGTCCACAAGTCAACATAATATAACCTTCTTGATAAGATACATTGAAATTTTATATGCTAAAATGATGTAGTATTGAAATATCTTTGTTCAAGTGTTGAAAAACAACAAATTCTCCATTTCTTTGGAAAGTTGCTCTTTTGTATCCTCTGATTAGCCCCATTATAGCATGCCAGCAATTACTTTTTGCTTTTTTAAAACATTGTTGCATTGTTCATTCTATGTTAAAACCTTTGTTGTTTTATGAAGAAGCAGAAAATTAGTTTTCTTTTAAGACATTTTATTTCCTGCAAAGCTTAAAAGCTGATTAACAGAAAATGTTGACCAAATCGTTATAATTAATTGTATAAATATATATATATATTTAAAGGAGGAAGAGAAGTACTACTACCGTGTTTCCCCAAAAATAAGACATTCCCTGATAATAAGCCCAATCAGGCTTTTGAGCGCATGCGCTAAAATAAGCCCCCCCAAAAAATAAGCCCTCCCTGAAAATAAGCCCTCCCTGAAAATATTTAAACGCATGCACAGCTGGTCCCCGCCATTTCCTCTGGTTAGGGTTAGGGAGACAGAGCTGGAAATCAGGTAAGACAGCTCCACGCGCCCCAAAATAATAAGACCTCCCCAAAAATAAGGCCAAGTGCTTATTTCGGGGTTCAACAAAATATAAGACAGGGTCTTATTTTTGGGGAAATACGGTATTAGTAGTAATCCCAACAGCTAGTGGTAATTCAGTCCATTTCTGGCTTCTGGTAGTTTGGCAATCTACAAACATGGACATCAAACTTACCTGCTACATCTTACTAAAACTAGAAGGAGGAAAAGTATTAATTTTTCAGCAAAACACTGGGTTTCAGAACCTACAGTGTTTCCCTGAAAATAAGACCCTGTCTTATATTTTTTTGAACCCCGAAATAAGCACTTGGCCTTACTGCCATGTGCTCAAAAGCCCGATTGGGCTTATTATCAGGGGATGTCTTATTTTGGGGGGAACAGGATATTAGAACTATTTCTACCCAGAACTCAATAAACAGTGAGCCTATTTACAATTAGGGCATAGTCTTTTTTTATTAGCGTAAGAAAATACATTATACATATACTTTTCTTACTGCAATTCTTTGTCTCAAGAGTTGGTTCTCTCCCTTTATTTTTCTTAGAGTGCTCAGATAACAGACCACATCACAGCCCATCCAAACATTGCTCAATATTGGACCTTGACATTCAACAATTAAACTTTCTCATGCATCTTCATATCACATACACACTATTCTTAGCAACTACCCATTTCCCCGAAAATAAGGCCGGGTCTTTTTTTTTTTTTTTTGCCACCAAAAAAAGGCACCATCTTATTTTTGGGGCAGGGGGATGTCGTCCACTGACTCACCTCACTTGCACTCATTACCCCTGCCCTTTTTTTCGCTGTCAGAGGCTTTCAGGAACTTCTGCTGCTGCCAACAAAGTCAGCAAGGCTTTCCTGAAGGCCTCTGTAGCCGATAACCAAGCTCTGGATTGATGTGGAGTTCTGTTATCGGCTGCAGAGGCCTTCAGGAAAGCCTTGCAGGCAGAAGAAATGAGCCGGCAAGGCAGGTGTTTGGGGTGTGCAAGGCCTGTTCAAAGGTAAGTTGTAAGGCAGCTCCAATCCCCCATCCCCACCATAGCTTAATTTTTACCCATGCACCCTGGAGTGGCCTGGGTCTTAATTAGGGCTTATTTGGGGGATAGGGCTTATATTGGGTGCATGTGTAAAAAATCAAGCTAGGACTTACTTTCAGGGTAGGTCGTATTTTCGGGGAAACACTGTAGCTTCATGAGAATCATGTCCAGGGCTATCACTGAAAACAGGTTCCTAATTATAGAAGAAGAATTTCAGAAATGGAGCAATTCACAATTTGTAAATGACAAAACAATTCAAAGGGGGAGACTCAAGGCATCTCAATTCACTGGTAGTTGCTGGATCACAATTTGAAGGGACGCAGGGAAGGAACATGTTCCTAATATCTCATAAAACTTAGAGCATTGCCCTTGCTCCTTGGAAAAATATTAAGGTAGGCATATAATCATTGACAGCCAGTTTGTTGTGTAATGATTAAGATATCAGGCTAGAAACCAGGAGACCGTGAATTTTAGTCCTGCCTTAGGAACGGAGTCAGCTGGGTGACCTTGGGCTAGTTACTTTCTCTCAGCCCTAGGAAGGAGGCAATGGCAAACCACTTCTGAAAACTCTTGCCAAGAAAACTGCATGGAGTCGGAACAATTTCAGATCCATACTCCAATTTCCTCAGTTTAGTTACTCTCCCTGTAAGACTAGGTCAAGTACAATATGATTGCACTTACACTGGATATCAAAGTCTTCGGTTCACAATAGATTGTATTATCAATTTTACTAATAACCATGAGTGCCATTTAGTTGCTCCACTGTTTTTCAATTCATGTTCATAATTTCAGTTTGCTTTGTTGTTTTTACATTTTATTTCCGTTGTTCCACAGTAGCAGAATCTGGAAAGACAACAAATTAAGCTACCTCAGCAGAATTAATCAGTAGAAATCTACTTGTAATTCTTTTCTCTAGTCTTGACTGTGAAAGTAATATTTAAGTGGCAAAAAGTCAATCTCAAGACACTGAATGAAATGAAATTAAGCAGAAGGAATTAAAATGATAAAAAAAAACACCTGAAATAGAAAATACATATACTTCAAACCAGAATTGTTTTTTACAAACAAGTTTATTTATAGTTTCAACAGAGCACAAAGTTGAATGACAGGAAACCTTTTTTTCTGTACAACAGTAGAATGGCCAGTGCAAAATATGTATTTTTTAAAAATCGATAAACAAACATTCTGACACTTTCACTCAGAAGTCTTATTCTGGGCCTCCATTCTCCCTTCATTTAAATCACAATTAAAATTGTTCTTGTGTTACACAGTAAAAACAAGAAAACTCCCATACCCCTTCTGAAAGACACAAATACCCTCATCCAATCATTTGAGGATATCAAACTTTTAGTGAAATTAAGATCAACCAGGCTTCACAATAAGACAAAAAATAGGGATAAAGCAAAAGGCATAAGCGCAAACATTCAGCATACATTTTTAAAAGTCAGATATTGATTTAAAGCTGCTTTTCCTGAGAGACTAGCACTATTAAAAGGTATTGTGACATCTAATATCCTTTTCATCACCAAACATTTCATTACCCAAAAATTTTCTCTCAGATGTCAGGGTCAGTACTATGAGACAAGTAAGGTCTCATAGCTATAGATACAGCAAGATAATACAATTTTCTGGCAGTAATTTCTCAAAATCCTATTCCTTGGTCCCTGCCATCCCAAAATTTGTTTACTGATTTAAATTTTAAATGGAAAGTTGGCATGCTGCTTAACCATTTCCAGCAGTTTCTTTATTTCCACAATAAAGTGCATCCAGACCACACAGAACTGGGCATACTGATCACAAGAGGTATTTATTTGTGAATGGGAGCTCCAGCATGTTCATTTGGTGAAGGGCTCTCAGTCTTCCAAATATGTCCTCAGCTCAGAAAGACTCTTAGCCCCTCTTAGTCTAGAGGTATTTTGAAGCAGTCAAGGATCAGCGCTATTTTATAAACCTCGATCAGCTTCCTTATTGGATTACAAGAATTAACATGCAGCACTTAAGGCAGAAAAACATGTTGCTACTGACTCAAATGGTTTGCACTTTTTAATCTGAAATAACAAGCTTTCGCCATTCTTTTGGGGTGGGTGGGGAAATAGCAATAACCTGCTATGAAGCTTGTTGATTTCAGGAAGTAAAAAAAGACAATTATGAAGAGCTCAGAATTTATACTTCTGTGAAATGCAACACACAGTTAGGAATGTGCTAAAGGCAATTTTGAACCAATATTGTATTGTGCCATGATACGTTTGCATCAGAACTGTTTGGGGAGTATAATAGTTCAATATTTTGCTTAATTTCAAGAGTTTGATGAAGGCAAAAAAAATATAAATCAAGATTCTAGTCTAAGAAGTTATCTTTATACATATGAGGATTCTGACCATGAGCACTTACTCAACATATGTCAATCAAATGTTGCATGATGCAGCTGCATATAATCTACCACCTCAACCAGTGTTGTCTACCTTTGTGTGCGCAATCCCAATCCAGGGCCTATCATACAATCATATGGGAGATCGATGTACATTAGCTTTCTTTATGTATGTTTCTAATCCAACAGGAAATTTTGCACAGAAGCTACTTCTGCACACCTACCCTATTCAATTGATCAGGGTGCAAGGGTATGTCTTAAATGCATATAAAACATACAATATTAGACATCTGTCTATCCAGTTTAATGTGATTTCTGTGCAACTCTATGCAATATCTAAGAGAAGTGGGGGCAATGTAAGATCTGCTTCTCCCCACTCTAAAGATTAGAGATGTGAAAGTCCATGCTACTTGTGGAAGGAACATTAACATACAAAGCATGTACATTCCTGTAGGTTACACTTCCAGATTAGAAAGCATGAAAAAAAAAACAGACACAGCAAATCCAACAGCACTCTCTTTAAAGCTTTGAGATGAAGGCATGGAATCACCACCAGAGCTATGGAATAACCGCAGAAATAAGAGTTTTTTCACACATGTTATAAATCCAAGGCACAAAAGCCAGATATTCCTGATTATGCTTATTGTTTTTTACTTATGCAGTGAATTAAGCTATTTTACTTTATTTGCAAAAAAAATGCAATGCATTATTCTTGAACATATCACTGGCTTAAAAGTAAAGCTTAATGTGCAGCCTTGACTGCGGCTAGGTTTTTGTTTAACAACAGGCTATGTACACATGCAGCCATTTTTCAAAATCAAATCTCACCCAGTTCCATGAGGGTTTTGTAGTTCTCTTAGCTATAATGGTGGGAAACTTGCAATCTCCCATTTTCCCACTCAAGAGTCAGCCCCTTTCCTTCTATGCAATAAACCCGAAGGAAAGCCAAGTTGTATGATGTAATATAAGCTAGCTACAACGAGGGGCATCATTCAGTTGCAAGTAAGATCTAACCCTATTTATCCTGGTTTTAGTTTAAAGTCTGAAGCCCACACAAAAGAAATGAATTAAAAGTTTAAAAATGGAAACTGGAGGTATAAAAGATCAGGAAAAAAAGGAAAAAGAAAACCCCTGTTAATGTGAACAGAGTGCAGAAACTTTTTTCTCACGATGAGTTTAGAAGATAGTTTCTTTGCTCTGAAGTAGTGCTTGTGAACTTTGGCAATTTGATGGTATGGGGAATTCTGACAGCTGAAGTCCACATATCTTCAGGTTGCCAAAGCAGTATTAAAAATACTGCTTTAAGGGGGAAAGTAGTTCATATCAGTTATAAAAACCTGCAATTAACTTCCTTTAACTGTCTGGAAAGAGAGGAGACAATAGAATTAAGCCCAGTTAATTTCAAATTCACATCCAAGATGAATTCCAAAACCTGGTGGTTTATTGTATCAGCTTATTTCATCTGCTCATTTCAATACTTTCTGAAAAAGGCACTTGAATCAAAATATCACTAGATCAGGAACAAAGCAAAGGCATTATGCGGTCCTCGAGTCTCCCAAATATACACTTTAATCTTCTTGTTAGGGCTTTTGGTGAATAAGAGTGTTTTATCCAATGGATTTTCTATCTTTACAGGCTGAGTTGCAGGAAGGAGAATGAGCCGTCGTGCTGTGCAGCTGATCCAAGTCCAAATATACAGAGAAGTGGGTCATTTCAGAATAATGTGGTAACCATCATTACTTTCAGCTGTAAGATAAGGGTGAAAAAAACCCATCAGGAATTCATTGAAATATTTGTGTTTTTAGTCCTATAAATATGTACAATTCTATGGTCTGTACTTTGCTCGGATTCTGGTTGTACAATAGGAAACTGTAAAAATGCCATTCAGCAAAATCATTTTGAATGTATTGGGAAGGCATATTAGTGTTAAATTATAGGATATTTTTTGCAAGAAAATATAAACTATTTCAGTGGGAGGCAAGCTATATACAAGTAGGTAGAAGATGACTTATCCTTTCTCTCACTCTGAGTATCAGTCATAAAAAAATAAAAGATCAGTCTAATTCCAAAGCAGACTTCTGCAGTTTCCCTCTCAGAACACCTACCCAATAGTAAGCAGCCTTTTTACTGATTTGGCTCCTGGGGCTGCGTTTTATCAAATTCCCATTCAAAATGTTCTAACAATTACCAGAAGGACCTCTTGACCTACTTGGAGAAGCAACCGGAATAACATAATTATTGCTTTTAGAAGAGAGCTCCCTGGGTGCCATCTGGCTATATCTTCATATTTATAGTTGAATGTTAACCAAAGAACTTATGAAAAATGCTTATAGGTTGTTTCTTGCTTCTTGCATCTCTCAGTGTGAGACCTGGAAAAACTACTACATTACGGCAGGAAATGTATGCAAAAATACCTTTCAATGTAGAGATGAGGAAACAAGATTCATCTTGAAAGTTTTGTACCATCTGGATGAAAAGAAAAATGCAAGATGTTTCTATTTCTTTCATGATACATTTTTCTATTAATCTTATTCAACAGGAAAACACTGATCAGGCATGAGCTACAAACTCCCAATGATCTCTGGATGGCAAAAAGGAGTATACTTTTTATACTTCCCAACGTTTTTCCAGAGGTCAGTGGCTCTAAATAAGGTGCTGTTATTTTAAAAGAAAGTCATGTAGATAGTGTCTATTAGTATTAGCAAACACAACTATTAAGGAAGGAAGATTCCCATTTGAATTTGAGAAAAAAGGGGGCTAATTCGAATATATTTGCCAACAGGTTTTAGAAAGAATGGACTTGTGCATTATTTCTGGGGCAAAACCTGAACTTTAAATTTTAATCTGTAGCAATGTATTTAAATGGAGGAGCTTTATTCTAGGTGATATATACATGAAATCTTTAAAAATAAATAACTACCCTGTGACAGTATGACTGTGCAAAGTATTCAGAAGAAGTGTTTGGTAGTCCTGCTAGTCTAGGGGTCTGCAATCTTAAACATTCAAAGAGCCATATGGACCCGTTTCCCACAGAAAAGAAAATACCAGGAGCCACAAAACCTGAGTGGGCATGGCCAACCCACTCATGTAGGAGAAAACAAGTTGCCATTACCATTGTAGGAATTTTTGGGCTCTAAAAACTACATAACATTACTACTACTACTATTACTACCACTATACAAACTATACACACTATACATACATACATACATACATACATACATACATACATACATACACACACACACACACACAAACAAAGGGAAGCATTTCCGTTTTAGATCCTGAAAATGAAAAAGCTTTCCAATTCAATATGCTAACTTCGTTGAATGACTGGTGCTCAAGTATCAAAATGCACCAGTTGATTGTAAATGTTTATAGACATCAATACATTTAGCACTTAACCTCTCTAGACATTTGTTCAGATTGCAAGGTGCTATAATGCTCATGGGTGACTCTTAAGATCCATCTCCCTCTAATAGTTCTTACAAGTATTTAAGGTTTCTTCTCTCACACTCACTTTCCAAATGTAGAAATATTCACCACAATTAAAGTCACAGCTACTAGCATACATGCATAAATCAAGCATGAGGTACAACCAGCTTCTGCCTTTCCTTTACATCCCTGCTGCTGCCCTACCATTAGAACACAAAAATAAGGCAATAGCAATTGTTAATCAGTAACCTAAATAATTAATAAAAGTCTTTTCGCACCAAAGTTAGTCAAGGCCATTCCACTTTCCAAATGCTGCCTTAAAGCATTTCATGACTATTCAAACGTTACAAGTTTCTGAATCATCGGGGTGAAACAGTAGAGCAACTTTCAGAGCAAACATTACAGGCTTGATCCATAACCGCATGGGAATTTTGCGCTTAGCTATAACTCCTGTCCAGAGGTCAAATACAATGAAACTTCTTAAGTGATTCTGAAGCATGCAAAAGGCTACTCAGAAAAAAGCTGTAATATTTGACAGGTAAATACAGGGTATAATTAAGTGAGATATATTTAGTAGTAGTTAGAAGAAAGAAGGTAAATGTCCTCCCCATTTGCCCCAAAGCAAGACACTTCATAGTTATTAGGGCTGATATCAGTTACTTTTACTTTTAAAAATATCTCGCATTTTTATATATTTCAGTCTTCATATACTAATGCTATCTAGGAATGTCTGTGTCTTTTTCCTTACCATCTGCCTATAAGATTAATCAAAATGAAACAAAGCCATAGATTTTGCAGTTGAAATCACTTTCTAAAATGTAAATTGAGCTTGTCTGACTTCCCTTATTTTTACTCAAAATTAACTATATTTAAGCCTGTTTATGCAATCCATTCCTGTTTATCTGAAACTTTCATCAGTTAACTGGAGATGGGAGGGGGATGACCTTCTGCTATTACTCTTCAACAATTGAAAGTCAAAATATCTTACTAGATAACTACAAATCATCCCAACTGTTGCCATGTTTCTCCATCCATGCATTAATTATCTTTCAGTATTAGCCTTTTGTAGGCAAGAGAAAAATTAGCCGATGTTTCAGAATATTGTTTTGTCTGCCTATTTATTTGCAGGGCTTATAGCCTGCTCTGATCTACCTGAGTAGTGTACTCTTCCCCAAGTCTGTAATCAGGATTGAACACAGGTAATACGATAAAAAAAACCAGATTGGGAAATAAAAACTAAAATATTAAATAAAGCCAATTAAAAAATTAGAACAAAAAAGCTAACTGAACTTTCATCTGTTGATTCTACTCACTTTAGCACCATATAAATTCTACTAGAAATTTCTAGATTTTAAATATTTCAAAGATCAAAGCATCTTAAATTGATGAACTTTTTAAAAAAGCAGTAAAGAATGATTAAGACATTTTAATGTTTTGAAGCTAAGTCGTTTGAAGGGAACTTAATTCAGAATGAAGAAATTAGTTAATGTTATGCCTTGGACATAAAAATCTAGTATCAGGTGCAAAACTCTTCTAGTTAAAACTCTTACCTCATTGCTCACTAATACATGGATCCCTGTAGGTCCTTGCCGATAGATCCGGTTTATCTGCTGTGGGGAAATACTGTACAAGTTTGCAATCTTCTCCATCAACTCCAGTGTAGTTAACTCTTCTAAGAAGATAGCATGGTATACTGCAACAGTATTGGAGAAAGAACAACTTTCAGGAGTGAACATACTGGCAAGTTGCAGGTGACATGATTATGCGGGACCCTTTTGTGTTAGTCACTCTCTTTCAACCCAACACGCCTCACAAGATTGTTGCAGTTGTAAGGAAACTAAGAGAAGTATTAGGTATGTTCCCCACCTCGACTGATTTATAAAAATAATAAAGATAGGATATAAATAAATAAATAAATAATCCTAGCTAATGCAGTAAACTGCTACAGGTCAACACATTAGTTGCACAAGATCAGCCTATAAATATTAAATTATGTCTTGAGGAACACGCTATTTACATTATATTTCATTCATCCAAAACTTGATGAAGAATATTGAAAATCAGACATCATGCTGGTTGACACACATCTTATCAAAGATTTTGCAGGAGGCAGGCAAGAAATCTTTTGATGTTGTTATGTCTTCCAGTGAAAGCCAAAATCCTCTTTTAAAAGTAAGTTTCCCAAGACCACTGTCTGATTCAAAAGGTAACTGCAGGGTTACAAACCCATGTCTAGCCCTTGGAAAGAAATCCTGTAGATATGGTCAATTATTGACTCAATAATCAATCTTGCACCTAAACCATTATATGCAGTAACTGCTTGCCCTTTGGACTGAATGTTTAAAACAGGGGTGTCAAACTCACATCATCATGGCGGCATCACGTGACGTATCGGGACTTTTTTCCCCTTCGCTAAACTGGGAGTGGGCATGGTCAGCACGTGACGCATCCGGCCCATGGGCTGCGAGTTTGACAGCCCTGGTTTAAACCTTAAAACCAACTTATCTATTTGGCAAGGAGACTGGGACATGAGAAGAATCCTTCTGTTATCAGGAGAAGGAGAGGACATTGTGGAGACTTATTGTAGTTACGTATGAATAGGGGTAAAATCATGAATATGCCTCAACCACAATACTTAATTCAGATCTCATTTTGATGATTTACCATATGTTGGTGCAGGAGGCTTTCCAGGCCCAAAATGGGGCGCAGGGGAACACGCGCAAACTCCCAAATTGCAATGTGAGCACCCCCCCACGCATGTGCCCTGTGCAGGCGCATGCATCCCTGCATGCATCCCTCCCCTGTGCATGCGCGGCAGAGACCCAAAGACCAGCTGGCTGGTGGGAGCTGCACATGCATGTGCAGTGGAGCTGGGCTGGGGTGACGGCTGGCATGCCAGGCGACATGGCTCTGCATGCCACTTAGGGCACGCGTGCCATAGGTTCACCATCACGGTACTATAGGAACAATGGATCAATGATGAAAAAAAATTCCTTTCATTTTTTTTCTTTACAAAATTTGGTCATGGAAAATGCAGTAGGGCAGAAGGAAGATAATAAATGTGAAGCAAATAGTGGCAAGGACAGAAATACTGAATAGTGAATAAAAAATATTTTATTATATTGTTTTAACATTCTTCTATGTTAAACACTTTAATTGGAAAATTCTGATAAAACTATTCACTATGTTAGAACCTAAAGCTGTCACTTAAAAATTACAATTCCCATCATTCCATCTTGGAATTTTCATTATTCAAGAGCTTCTAGGTTATAATTTTTATAAAAAGATTATCTGTGCTATGAAATCACTATACAAGATTTCAGGATAGCTCCAGTTCTACACACAATCCATTCTGGAGAAATTCCAGACATGCCCTGAATCTTCCAGAATGCATCCAACAGGATTTTTCTGAATCTAATTCAAATGTTAGATTTATATGTCTAATAAAACCATTTTTATAATTTCTTCTGTGAAATGAATCATAAAAGCTCTCAAACAGCTCAGATTCTGCCCAAATGACACTTACTACAAAGAGTACCATCTCCATTCTCTCGTTTTTGATGATGATGAGTCCGATTTTGCTCAGGTTCTTGACAGACATAAATGGTCATCTTAGGCCTTACATTCCTAAAGGCAAAACAAAGTTTTCTGTTCAGTTTTGGCATTGTAGGCAAAAGTACAGTTCTCTAATCTTAATCAACAGCTTTAACATGACTGCCCCAAGGATACAATCAGTATGACTTCTGCTTAAGCAAGGGGTTGGACTAGAAGATCTCCAAGGTCCCTTCCAACTCTGTTATTCTATATTCTGTATCAATAAATCTGTTTCTGTATTCTGTAATTGAACAGTTAAGGTGCAAGCAGAATGGGGGAGGACATCTGTGATTTTTACAAGCAGGAGTAATGATCACTGATGATGCAAAGTTACAGTATTAAATTTGGGCCCTATGTTCCACAGTATTCACATATTCACAACCTACAATAACTGGTATAAGAAGAAGAACTATAACAAACCTTCCTTTAATAGCATTAAAAAGTCGAATGCCATCAGCTGGGCCACAAATTTGAACAAAGTCTTCTTTGGACATCTTCAGTAAGTCAGCACCTATACATTTCAAGCACAGGTGATTTTCTTTTTCCTTCCAAAAACATATATCCAAGAATACAGACCCACCTTTCACAGATGTTTTATGACAGATGCTGGCTGACCATACATGCTAATTAGAAAATGGGGGGTGGGGGACAGAAAAGGAGGAGTTTTGCACGTAGTCATCAGAAAGCCGATGTATACAAATATGCATAGTTAAACTACAGTATTCCGCAGAAATGTCAACACATGACCTATGCAAAGTAGACGGTACCCCTTTTAAGCATACATTTAATACACATACCTGAGAAACTTGAAAATAGTCTACAGAACTGAGAAAACCTATTTCGATGAAGCCACTGCTGAGCATCTTGAATAGAAGCAGAGGGAAGGAGATGCTACATTGCAAAAAGAATAAGAAGGTCTTGAAATGAACTGTTCATCAGTGTCCTAAAAAAGAAAAGCACCACATTAACATGATCCCAGATACTTACATCAGTGCTGGAAGGCAGGAGCTCCACCTGATGAGTTGGAGAACTGTTGCTAAAAAAACATACAGAGTTGAGAAAAAAAGAAAGCATTTTTAAAACTCTCATTTAATCATGTTGGCCATTCCCCCCCACCCACTCCACCATACATTATTTAATTCGGTTTTATTCGGTTTTTAAAATTTGTATTTATGTGTTTTTATCTTGTGGCTGTTCACTGCCCTGAGTCCTTCGGGAGTAGGGCGGTATACAAATCAAATAAAACATAAAACATAAAACATACATCTTAGGCGATATAGTAAAACAACTAAAATGAATTTTCTTTATTATTATTATTTTTCTAAATTTGAACCAATGCAAAGACCAGGTTTGAACAAGAGCTGCTTAAGTCTTATCAAGCGCCTATGCTGGTTAATGACTACAATGCAGTTTTAAAACAAAATATCAAGCATCTAAACTGTATCTTGATTTTTAAAATCAAATTGGCATTACTTGGAGCTAAATCTCATTCAAGTGACAGAAAAAGCTTTGGAATGAACTAGGTCTCTTTCTTCAAAGATTGGTATCTAGCAGGTCCTATGAAGTATTCCTTTTTAATTGAAATGCCCCTACTCTGTGGAACACCTTTCCCATGGGATTTGGCAGACCCTCACCCTTTTTTGATTTCCAGAAAGTTCTAAATAGCTGGCTTTTTCCACAAGCATTGGGATAGAAGGAGGTTGGAACCCAGGGCCCTTATTTTGGTGATATATTGAAGAATATCAGGTTCTATTACTGTTTCTGGAGCTTTAGTATTGTTGAGAACTATGGCTCATAAGATGGGTGGTCGTATTTTATATCTATCTATCTGTCTGTCTGTCTGTCTGTCTGTCTGTCTGTCTGTGTGTATGTGTGTGTGTGTGTGTGTGTGTGTGTTTTTTTTCCTCTAGTCAGGTTTTCTGCAGTTTTCTGGTTACGTAGGAAAACCTGGCTAGAGGAAAAACACACATAAATCCTACGAAGAAGTAAGAAAATAGATATTATATATATATATATATATATTATATATATATATATATATATATATATATTATATAATATATGTGTGTGTGTGTGTGTGTGTGTGTGTGTGTGTGTGTGTGTGTGTGTGTGTGTGTGTAGGTCTTTGGTTATTCGGGTTTTCTCCCGCGTAAAATTGGAGGTGTCTTGGCAACGTTTCGACGAAGTCTCATTCGTCATCTTCAGGCTGGTGTTTTCGGCTTCGTGCCTCTAGGAGCAATGTGTGTGATCGCAGCCTGAAGATGACGAATGAAACTTCGTCGAAACATTGCCAAGACACCTCCAATTTTACGTGGGAGAAAACCCGAATAACCAAAGACCTACATACAAACACCCGTGAAAACCTCAGAAATCCAATTTTACGCGGGAGAAAACCCGAATAACCAAAGACCTATATACAAACACCCGCGAAAACCAAGGTTTGAAGTGGCTCATATTAATTTATGATGACAAGATCTTGAGATCCAGGTGTGGTTTATAGATCAAACTGAGGGAAATCATATCCAGATCTTCATTTAGCCTTAAAGCTTGCTACAGAACTAAGCAAACCACCATCCCCTCAGCCCAACACATCTTTTTGTTACAAAGCTAAAATGGAGGGAATAGGTTGCATATTATATCTTAAGGTCCTTGAAGAAGGAATAGACATATATATCTAAAATAAATTAAAACATTATCTTTTCCCCTAGCTAACAGTGGAGTGGGGGGAAATCATCTAAAAGCTCTCTCGCATGTATTCTCTTATGTAAATAGCTTTCAAATAAGGCAAAGTTGTGCAAGAGTTCAGCTGCACAGGAATGGATCTTACAATCTCAGTCCATCAACATTAAACTGGGCCTGAAAGCCAGGTTAAGCTTCTTAATCTTTTATATTCGGAAGTGTTTAGAACACACAACCATAAAATCTCAGAACTGGGTTGCCTCTATCAGCAGAAAAGACAAAAATATTCATCACGTACCCTTCTCCAAGGCTGAAACTGTTTGGAGAGCTGTTGTAATTTGGAGATGGAGCATTGTTCACTTGATAAGGCACATCTGGCCATGGGGAACACTGTGCAAACAAAACCAAGGTGTTGAGAAAGAAAATCCAAAAATGCAACCTCATTCTGTTTTAAATCTAGCTTTTGTTGGATCATCAATAACAAAAATACATTTGTTATCACCTTCATGCACACTCCAACTCTGAAATTATCTGATTTCCAACAGTGATTGTATATGCACTAGAATTCAAGCAGCTACTCAAATGTTAAGCATAAGCAGGGAAATAACCTACAATCAGTTTCCTAGCACTATACATTTGTACATGGTGGAACAAATAAAAAGCCCTACTTCAATTGTATATTCAATGGGAAAAAGGGCTGCTAATCTATAAATATAGAATATAATATATTTCAAGCCCTCCTTATTACATATAACCATGTTATACTTAATATATGCAGAGTGGGCTTACAAGAAAGCTAACATAAGTCTACCCACTCACTTTTTACACAGAAATAATTTTAAACCTATGCTTAAATTATTATATATTATTGTGTAACTAAATTCTTAGCAGAATCTAATGTTGTAAGAGTAGATGTTTGTGCAGCTGGAGGTTTCCTGCTTCTCCTCCAACCCCACTTCCCTACAGCTGAAATATGCTTAAGAAATTCCCATATTATCCATTATCCAGACTGTGGATTTGCTAGTGGCTGTAAGGGGTGCCACAGCTGGGACAGCTGAAAGGATTTCGCCATTCATTTTCAGTGATATAACAGGCAACCTGTGCATTAACTTAAGATTTCTCTTCACAGTAAATACAAACATTAGTAAATATTTAACTTTTTTGGAACAAGAACTATATGACTTCCTGCTTTACGGTGCTAAAGGTCATTCTCATCAACAGCAGAACACCTCAATCTAGTAGTTCTTTAAAACTGGGTCACTTTCCAGGCAGAGGACTCACTGCCCTCAACCATTAGGATCCATAATGTGCTGGCTATATGACACAGACAGATATAAAAGGTTCTATGAATGAAACAGCAAATTTGTTTCAGCTCTTCTTTAAACATTTAACTTTACCCTACTTTCTCAATGTTTGTTTAATCTGGGTCTTGTAGCAATGTGAACTTTAAGACTAAAATGTCAAAATCCAATTAAGTCTCAAAAGAGGAATGAGACCAAAACTTCCCTGCAGACAGAGAAAATATCTGCCTATTGATCTGTTTTTACTTTTGTTTGTTTAGATTGCCCAATAATGAAATGAAATGAACTGCACACAAAAAAAACCCAAAATCTAAAATGAATTAGAAGAATTGAAGGGAAAAAAATACCTTGAAGATAGAAGCAAGCAGGAGATAACCCAATAAGATCAAATAATTATTTTTAAAGATTTAGAAGAACTTCACTTTGTGCTGAAAGAATATGCAGTATACATCAGTAAACCTCTCTAGGGAAATCAGTCTATAATCTGGACACCCCATTGTTAAGGCTCTGTTTCAACTAGCAATCCCTCTCCTTCAGTGGAGGTACTCATCAAGAGGATTGAGGTTCCTTCTCACATATTATTTCCCCAGCACAACAGCACAACCATTCTCCTTCTGTACACCCAGCCTGGCACATTGTGAGTATCATTTTGGGGAGGTCTGCAGAATTATACATTTTGAGATTACAATATAATTGTACATGCAGCCTGAGGTACAAAAAAATGATTATTATTTATTATTCCAGTGGCAGATTGGAAGGGGAATGGGTGGGAGCTTTACCTCAATTCATTGCCAAAAGTGGCTTCTTCACTGCATCTAAAGATAGGGCCAAGCCTGTGGATTTTAGAAAATTACCTTAGTATCCAAGTGGGGACACTTTAAGTAACTGGTTCCAATTGGCTTAGAAAGTTATTGTGGATAACCTGAATTTCAGAATCCAGCAGAACATTATTTTCAGCTCTTTGGAACTTTAGGAAGCATCAATTTTAGGCTATATTAGTTTTAAATAAAGGCCAAGCAGGTCATACTGAGCACCATCAAATCTAAAAATGCAACAGTGTCCTGTTTTAGACTTTACCCATTTTGCTTCAAAATTGAACACTCCACAATATTGCCTTCTATACATAAAAAATATGCAGTCTTTTGCAAGTAATAACCATATAACACTGCGACTCTAGGACAGTGGTACCTCAGTGAGAATGGTTGTATCATAGGAAGGCTGATATTTCTCCCTTTCTTGAGTGGTTTTCTTCTCCATTTTTTCTCTGTCTGTTTTCTGTTTCCTATCTGCTCCTTTAGGCTATAAAAGCACATATACATTTAGTTTGTCTTAAGCAAAGGATTGTTAAACAGAAAGTGCAAAAGTTTTTATTGATATTAAATGTGACATTGAGGCATGATTTAATGGACATTCTTCCCTTGTGTATATGTGCCATGGGATATAGGATAGAAAATTATTTTTGTAAAACTGGAATGGGCAATCTGTTCCAGGTGTTGTTGAACTCTAAAGCTTGCCCAAAATATGGCTCTGGTGAGAAATGCCAGTAGTTCAACAATATGTAGAGGGTGCTGAAGTTTCTTCACTCTTTCTGAAGGATACTTTTCATTAGCAATGGTATCAGTGGATACAACCATGGTGAGCAGGACAATTCCTGCTTTTCTTCTGCAAACCTTGGAGTTTAGCTACTCAACAAACTTAGAAAGCTCACAGATACTGGAATTATTAAAGTAATTATTAATCAAGTGAATTTCATGGCAGAGAGGATTTTTATTGGAGAACTGCCTTTTATCATTTTAACTTTATTGCATATAAAACAATATCCCAATAAAGTATCTATATCACACTGTCCATTCCAAACGTTAAAAATACATAAATATGTACAATGCCCGGCTTCATTCAGATGGATATAATCTATTATGTTGATCATCATTGGCTAATATTCCAATTTGTTCAGTAATAGTTAGAATTCAATTTTGTTTCTAATTTTTATTTATTTACTAGATTTTAGCATGTGTTATTCTGGGAATTGATCTGAAGTGGGATTCAGGACATGGAATCACACAATAATGAATGCATATATGCAGGAAGAAATAGGCCAAGTCACATGAGTCAAGAATCTTTATATAAATGCACAAATTATAGGGAACAAACAGAAAGAACTAGGAGTTTAAATGCAAATATGATATAGTCAACATTACAAAATCTGGTAGGATGAAACTCATGAATGAACTATAGGGACTGAATGATATAACTTACTCAAAAGTAATATGCCAGACAAAAGGGGAGGAAGAGTAGCTCCATACATGGGAACTGCACACATGTGTTGATAGACTGGAATTTTAGTGTGTGAGTCTATTTGGAAGCACTTTGTAAGAATACAAGGAAGGGAAAATCATGAAAATGATGTTGTGCTATAGATTACCAAGCCGGACAGAAATGGATAATCATTCTTAAATATTTTAAAGAACTTGCAGAGATAAGAAACATGGTAATAATAGAAGAATTCAACCATCTGGAACACAGTTGGAAACAAACAAAGTCAACACTGCAAGATCTTCAGAGTTGGGCTGCTGACTTCCATTTTCCAGACAAGAAAAATAAGAGACGGGCTTTCCTAGATCTGATCTTAAACATTTGAGAGTGGTTACCAAAAAAGTAAAAGCAATGAGAAAGTGGCCATGCTCAAGTTATATAAAAATAGAAAATGAAGCAGTCATTCATTCACCCTTCAGGAGAACAAATTTTCCCAGAATTTGAGAAGTACTAGATAGGAACCCATGAATAGAGAGATCCTTACATCAAATGAAGTGCAGGTTGGGAATAAGATATTGTAAGTACAATTGTATATCATTCTAATGAGAAAAAAATGAAAAGAGATTAGGAATCAGTTCTGGATGCACAGGGAGCTTTTCAAATGAACTAAGAAGTGAAGGGGCCATATAGAGGAAATTGAATAACTGACAAAAAGCAGGGAATGATCACCAAGAGGAAGTAAAGAGATGTCAAAAATTATCCAAAAATCCAATACATTGGATTTGATATTAAATCAAATACATTTAATATGTGATTATCTGTAATTTTCACAGAACAATCTTTCCCCACCCCCAATTGTGCTAATTTAAACTCCATACACCCTTCTTTTCTGAGAGCCTACAGATCCCCTCATATCTGTCCAACCATCCTCTTTTCAAGAATAATGAAGTAAAGGGGAGGAAGAAATGTCATTTGTAGCATCTCCTTATGGCACAAAATTAATAGAAGAAATTAGCCACATACCTTAAATACTTTGATCTGGCAGCTTGCAGAATGCAAGTGTTCTGTATACTCCCCGTTTTCATTCTGTTTAAACGTATCCATTTGTATTCGGAATGGTACCCCTTTCTCCCCTCCATGTTTCCTTGGAGTAAATTCCGTACTAATACAGTGCACCTAACCAAAAGAGATGTGCTTAGTGCTCAAGTCCCAAATCACGCTGTCTGAGATTTGGGTTTCGGGCTGTTGTTTTTTTAATAGAAGTATTTGACAAGTCTTATGTGGAGAAGCTGAACTAATAATGTAACCTACTGCTTAGCTATGGGAAAGGAATCAGTATTATCCAAATTGAGGTACCCACTGAATCCTCAGGGCACAATGGTTAGAATGCAGTATTGCAGGCAAACTCTGCCAACAGCCTGGAGTTCGATCCTGATGGGGCTCAAAGTTGATTCAGCCTTACATCCTTGTGAAGTCGGTAAAATGAGGACCCAGAGGGGAGCAATATGCAAATAATGCTTTGATATTGTAAACTACCCAGAGAGTGCTGGAGAGCTCTGTGGGGCAGTATATAGGTGCTATTGCTACTACCCAAATTACATTCTCCTTTTCATCAACTCTTCCCTAAAGCAGCTATTTCCTTCTACCAAACATTAAATAATGGAATTTGTCCTATCATTATCTGTCTAGTGGCCGGATAATGCCCAAAGAATTAATGACTAAAACTTCACTGATAGTTTGGACCATACTTCAATATTGTTATGCTCAGATGGTAAGGCCTCTTTTAATACTGAAAAAGTATAAATATTCAGAGAAATCTTTAACCCTCAATGTTGTTTTTTTTAAGTTTTTACTCCTCTCCTTGGAGAAAAATGAAAATTATGTAATCTTCAATAATTGGAATATAAAGTGCATAATATTGCCTATTTGTATCTTCCATTAGTTGAACTGATTTTTTTTATAAAGTTAGTATTATACTTTTATATAAACTATGATTGAATGGTGAGATATATTGTTCCAGGCTGTTCTCTTATAATTTTGTTCATTTCTTGCTTTACAAAACATTAAAAGTGAAAACAAAATTCAGTTGACTTAATTATGACATATATGTAGCACATGATCCTGATGTTAGGAAGACAGAACAGGTAGTCCTCAACTTACAACAGTTCATGTAGTGACAGTTCAAAGTTACAGCGGCACTGAAATAAGTGACTTATGACTATTTTTCACACTTACAAGCATTGCAATATCCTCATGGTCATGGGATCAAAATTCAGACATTTGGCAACTGGCATGTATTTATGACGGTTGCAGTGTCCCGGGGTCATGTGATCACCTTCTGCAACCTTCTGACAAGCAAAGTCAATGGGGAAGCCAGATCCACTTAACAACATTGTTACTAACTTAACAGATGCAGTGATTCACTTAATGACTATGGCAAGAAAGGTCATAAAATGGGGCAAAACCCACTTAACAATGGTGTTACCTAGCAACATAAATTTTGGGCTCAATTGTGGTAATAAGTTGAGGACTACCTGTACCTGCTCTCACATCTTTGTATATCAAGCAATTTCCCTTCAGTGCAAGTGGATAAATCTGATGGAAATGGTGAAGTAAGGCAAGAAGGGGACTCTGTGTACTTTGGCAGCATATCTGCTGTCAAGAGGGTAATGAGCAGTCATGTCTAGCCCTCAGCCAGCCTGCAACTCTCTCATCATCATGCCCCTCTATTATGCAGACTGGAGAAGTGCCTGAGCTGCAGGTAGCCCATCCATTCTCCCATCTTGGCAGCATCATCACTTCTTCTATCCTGGCAGGGTCAACCAAGTCCAAGGTGCCACCCTCTGGATGCTCAGCTGATAAATATAATTTATAGTCCCAAAACGGGATTCATGCTCAGCAATTTGGAGCCCTAATTTTAAAAAAATACACTTTCTGTAAAGAAAAGAAGCAGATTTGAAAAGAATTGAGTTTCAAACATAAGTTAAGGGTGTTCTGTCCTGCCCATTTAGTAAACATACATGTCCTTAGAAGTGTTATTTTATGAACAATCTCATTTTTATAGCAGCCATTCTTCAAATTCCAAAATGTGCATACAAGACCCTAGAGGTTGAATGTCACTGTTAAATGCACTGTATAATCCTATTTTTACTGTCTTCTCACAATTTATCATCAACATAAAGATTCCAACTTCATTTAAATTATATGGAATTGTTTCTTTTGCTTTGGTCTGATTTCTGGGCAATACAGAAAGGAATACCATTTAAAGTTAAAGGGAAGTTGAAATAAAATTCTCAGATTCTCAATCCCATTTAGTCTCAATCAAATGTATCCCAAAGAACATGAAAGAATGATGCCCTCTAATGGCTTGAGATAAAACATATTCCACTTAGGGGTATTTTCTTTCCTTACCTGAACAAATGCAGATGCTCTCTTAGATGGATCCCACAGAAATTCAACTGTATTCAGCTGGGTGGGACTTGCTCTGGGATCTAAGATACCAACTGACAGTGGGATATCTGTAGAAGAAAACCCCTAAAATATTAAAAAAATTAAAAATTGAAGAGCAGAAACATTACAATATAAACACCAGATGTATTTGAAAGACCAGCCTGACACAACTAGCTGCAGAGTAAGAAACCTGGTCTGAGCCTTTCCATCTGAAACGGATCCTGGAGTTGTATTTCACAATCCTGGGAAACTAAAGTTATCCTACCCTATTTAGACCTCTTCTGGCTTTCATAGCACAGTTAAAGAGTTTGTCTATAGTACTATCAGCAAAAATGGATGTGGTTATATAAAAGCCACTTTTCTAACAGCTTTTACCTAAAAGGTGAGAAATAAATACATTAATGCAAAAAAAAAAAATACATTTCATTGATATTGGAATGAAATCTAACAAAAGCAAAACCTTGTTGGTTATTTCAAGAAACCAAGTATTTTCCAATTCATAAATATTACAACAGGTATAAAGGAAAAAGTGTATGACAGGCAAGTCATACTGTACATTCAAGAAAGAAGCAATGGATATCATAATGAAAAGTTCTCACCTATGTCAAGGATGCGGTCTCCAGGCCGACTCCATCTCCAGCCTTCTAGCTGTTGGTGCTCAGTATACTGCAAACGCCGATCATGAAAAACTACCCGAATAATGCTCTGTGGGGAGAAAAGTGGATGAAATAATAAAAGAAGCTAGATGCAAGTATTTTAAAGAAATTATACTTTCCACTTCCAGGACAAAGCTGATAGAAGACTTGCAATGTGTATTTTATTTAAGTGGATGTGCAGAAATCACCCATCACCATAAAGAAGAATATTTTAATTAAAATAAAATAAAATTTATATTCAGAATACACTGACAACAATCTGCAATCTGGAAAACAGTATTGTTCAGTGCTATGGTATCGTGTCATGTGATATCCATTGCAAATAGCAAGATACATCCCACTTTGTAAATCATATCTTACTGTCACTACTTGTTTTTAACAAATCCTTGAAAGAACTAAACATCAAGAAAGTGAAATATTTGGAGAAAGATTGAGTAATTGAATGGAGATTAATACTCTGAAATCTCCAGGAACTGTCAAAAGATAAAAGTGAGTAGCTTTTATAATATAGGATATTAATCATTTGCCTTTATTTAATCAGACCATTTATTAAGGGAGAAGATCTTAGAAGTTTTATATCCAAATGAAGAGTCCGATAGAGATCCAAAACAATCTGTATTTTAGATACTGATTTCCATATAATGAACTATAGGCTTGCGTTTTGAACTAGATCACGGGTGTCAAACTCAAGGCTCGCGGGGCCACCCTGGAAACAGTGACAGACCGGCCAGCGGTGCCTCTGCCAAGCTCCATTTTCACTGGTAGAGGGTTGCAGGATGCCGTCACAGCTGAAAACAGAACTCGGGAGCCCGTTTTTGCTGGCAAAGCACTCTAGCCACCACAGGCGCCCCCGACACAAGTGACATCAAGCTGACCACGCCCACCCTGGCCACGCCCACCCTGGCCCCCAAGGTCAAACACACCCCTGATAATTTATAGTCAATGAAATCAAGTTTGACACCCCTGAACTAGATGCACTGAGGATCCAATGGCATTTTGTAGGTTGTGCCTCTGATTGTAAAGTGGCCTGTTAAAATTCCAGTGCAATTCATGAAGTTTATGTATCTTTCTTTAGACAGAATAGAAATATGTAGTCATTTTATTACATGATATTATTTTGATTTTTGATTCCAAAACACAATATATAAACAAACACTGAATTCTTAAGTGATAGTAAAACTCCAACTTATAGTAATAAATTCTCAAGTCATAAATTTACAAGTCTGTTGTGCTGACCAAGTAGTCAACAAATTTATGTTATCATACAGTGGGACAAATGTGGCAAACGCTGGATGTTGTCAAAAAGTACAAAGGCAGGTCTTACCTAGTTGCGGTTTGTATATACCTGGAATAAAAAAATTAGTACTCCTTGATTTGATCTTTAATAGATGTTGCACTGTTGCAAATAAGGATGCAGTCAAGAAATGTAAATGCTATTTCAGTCCAAAATATGTCTAACTTTGTGACCAGAAGACCAAAGGTGTAGATCAGTAATTCTCAAACAGTATTTATTTTTTGAGATTCCTCAAACTTTGGGGATTCCTGAAAAAGGACCATGGGTATTCAAGTTTCCTTAAAAAAAGATTTATACATCATGAATAATAATGTAAAATATGAAAGAATCCTGGATTTATTCAGGTTCTACACTTGGCAGACAATGTACAATCTACAAAAACTGCATCTAGAATTGACTGTGGAACATTCCAACATGCAAAGCGTATCTGACAGAATGGCAAAGATTAAGTACAAATAATTTATAAAGAAATTGTTCATGGTTGTCAGGGAATTTAGAAAATCTTTAATGTACCCAAAACCCTGGAATTCCCATTATTTCTAAGTAAATCAGGAAACAGAGCAACCACTATAGCTCATATACCCTTAAAGTATTTTCCAGCAGCATAATCTATATCCAGTAGCTCTTATGTGTGGCAGCAGGAAGAAAATATCCTTACCTTTATATATTTTGTGTTTAAATCTTGAAACTCTCCCAATTTCCTATTCTCAAGTAGACGGATTTCATATGACTGACCTAGGAGTTCAAGGAAACATTTCCAAGTTGTTTAAGCATGTTGCAGCAAGAATAGCAAGAGACAGTTGCAACGGCATCAATCATGTTTGAGAGAGATGCTTTGGGGCTGTTGTTGTTTTTGACAATTTTCTCCTAATAAAAGGTCAGACATTATTGCAACTTTTGCTTAATTTAAATATTGTAATTTTTTTTATTTATTTTTTTGGTTATATCAATGATGTGGATATTCCAAGAATTTAGAACCTTCTAATTCCTTCCAAGACAACTTGAAGCATATTACATGGTCTATTTGTCATGTAATCATCTGGAAGAAGTCTTCTTATACAGCTACATGTTTCAAACCAGCTGCAGTTCCAAGAACACACAAGTATTCTTGAATATTTTCTATAATCGTTTCAGCAATATGTGTTTTTTATTGTGTTGTACCATTAGAGTGAGATATTCTACCATTTAAATCCATAGAATTTGACTAATGGATCTTTATTTCAGGAACTATCAGGAGATGTTACTGCTATAGCCCCTGAGTCTAATCCTAAAATAAGAAATAAGCCCCACTGGGCACTTTTGAATAATCAGGCATAAATTTGTACTTTTGCTGTTTTCCAAAAGCTAACTGCACATAGATGAATGATAAATACTAAGCACTCCAGAGAATTCAAGCAATGACCTAAAACTGGTCTTCATACCATTATGTTAATTAAAGAGCAGGTATAATGATGGTCTGTTTCAGGGGCGGGTTTCAAAACCCTTCGCTACGCGCAACACTTCTGCGCATGTGCAGAAGCATCCGGGCAGTTGGGCGGAGCATCCCACCACCACTGCTACCGGTTTGCCTGATCTGGGGTGAACCGGTAGCAACCCATCACTGGTCTGTTTCTTCTCTTTTTGGGCTATTTACTAGCTTTCTGAGGAGCACATGGATAACCACCTAAGGACAAAATCAAATCTTTAAAAGGCTCCTAATAATATAACTGTGTATCAGAAAAACCCTTAGCATGAAATGAGCAGGTGTGTTTTTAGTAAATGCAATGACTTTTCATTTATTTTAGAAATAGCTTTGAACATTTGTTTTGTTATTAAGCTTGTCACATGTTGCTATTAGAAACATAGTTGAACCTGGCCAATCGTCTTTCAAAAACTATACAATTAACTATAAGAGTTCGGTGCAATGCAAGACCTCCCAGGAATTAAATCTGCTCTTCTATTATCAAGGTAAGAATTTGGCATGTATTTCCATGTACATAAGCCTAATTAGAAATATAAACGTATTTATTTTGGATATAATACTGTTTGTTTGGTAACCAAATGTTGGGAACAAGAACAAAATTATAAATACAATAAAACAAGAAGCAGACACAGAGAAACTGGCTTTTCAAGTTCTTCTTCTAATCACTTCCCCTCCTTGTACAAGAATGCAGTTCAGTGTATAACAATCTAAAATGATAATCAGCATGACTTCTGGTTTGACCAGTGAAGTTGATCTTTTTTTTAAAAAAAAAAAAATCTTTTCCTTATGCAGAGAAAAGAAAAAATGTTACATTTCTGGAATTTTGTCCAGAAATAATAGTGGTTTTCTTTTTGTTACCCAAATACTTTAAGTGCTTTACACCAATCTTCTAGTGATATGGACCCTGAGAATTATGGAATTAGCTATGGCTGAATTGTGTTCAAGAATAACACAAAACTCTCTGAAAAAAGAAAAAAATATATACTATAGCTCTTCTGGAAATAAAGGAAACAAATATAGAGCAAAAGAAAAGAAAAAGAAATTAAACCACAGCTCTTCCACATAAAGTTGTGTTTAGAATAACTCCATACACTTTATTAAGATTATCATGAATAACAAGAGATTCCCTCCAGAACGCTTTAGCCATGGTCACTGAAGACTTAGCTTGATCCCATAGAGCTGGGATAGGATGAGCTAACTGCATGTTGGAAGTTTGACTTGGCACCACTTCTTTTTTGTTATCGTTGTTTCTAATGTTTATGGTTTTAGTGTGGCTTTAATACAGGTAGTCCTCAACATATGACCACAATTGAGCCCCAAATTTACATAGCTAAGTGAGACATTCATTAAGTGAATTTTGCCCCATTTTATGACCTTTCTTGCCATAGTTGTTAAATGAATCACTGAAGTTGTGACATTAGGAACACGGTTGTTAAGTAAATCTGGCTTCTCCGTTGATTTTGCTTCACAAAAAGTGATCACCTGACTCCCCAGGCCACTGCAACCGTCATAAATATGAGTCACTTGCCAAGTGTCTGAATTTTGATAGTGTGACCCTAGGGATGCTGCAATGGTTGTAAGTGTGAAAAATGGTCATGAGTGACTTTTTTCAGTGCAGTTGTAACTTTGAACAATCATTAAACGAACTGTTGTAAATCGAGGACTACCTATAGTTTTTTTTATGTTGCCTTAATTCTTGATTGGGAGCCGCCCAGATTTTGGTAGAAGACGGACGGCTATAAAAATGTTTTAAACAAACAAACAAAATAAATAAATAAATCATCGTTAAATGAGGCAGTCACTAAACAAAGACTACCTGTGTTTATAGTCCATCTTTTCTTACTGTGGTTTCCCACAAGCTGAGCCAATCAAAAGTAAAACCGCCTGCTATTAGGCCATTTCCAAAACAAAGTACAAATGGATATTGTATCACCAGTTCACAAGGGAATTGCTTTATGTAGAATGGCTGGGAAAAAGGCACAAGGAACTGAATATTGACTGTAGTATAAATAGAACTTACACTGCAATCACTAGATGTCTTTTGTAATGGGTCAAAGGCTTGCCACAATAAATCAGCTTTATCTGTGCCTTTGTGCCCTGGAAAATATATTCTTGCAATATTTTAACTTGTCAGCTGAGAAAGGCCTGACAGCAGTTCAAGACAAACCATAGCCAAAGAGGTTTGTTTATAGGGTTCTACTAAGCAGACAATAATACATATATATTTGGTGTGGTTCCACAATAATAAAAAGAAGTAGTAAAATCGGCTAGGTTCACAATGTTCCTGAATTGTGTTATATGCAGAAATTCCACCTGTCTTTAAAAGAATTTTTATGAGCTCTCTGCATCAAGTTACACCATTTTTGCCTGCAATTAAAAACCTCATAAATAAAACAGCAGTACATTTGGGCACTTAGAGCAAAAGAGCTGCCTATCAAATAAAAATAAACCGTTTGAAGGTGATATATACTGAAAGCAACAACAACAACAACAAAAAACCACGGGATTTTTTCTTTCTAGTTTGGCAAATTCACAGCCAAGTATGACAGAATTTTAAATTCCCTCATAAACTTGGGGAAAAAATGGCTTAATGAATGAGCATCCAATCTTCCCTTATTCTGATTTCCAAGGCTCAGAGGAAAGATAATGTCTGTTTTGCTAATGAGATGTAGAAAGACAGAAAAGGATATTTATTATTTTTTGCCCCTTCAGGATAAAATTCCCTCCCCCCAAAAATAATATAATAATAAAAATAATAATAACTCCTTTAAAATAATATGAATTAGAAATAAAAGCACTGAGACATAGATTTGTCTGATTTATAATATGCTGAACCAATCAGAAACAAGGCAAAAAAAGAAAAAGACATGTTTTTTCCATTCATGATTTGTTTGTTGACTTTTTTTAACCTTACAGTAAGTAGACTATTTGGAGGCTTAGACAGGCCCTAAAATGCTAGAAAAACCACAAGCCCTGTATATTTATATCAACATCATATTGGGCCACAGTTGCAATCAACGAGCAAGTAACCAATTATGGTTTAAAATAAGGATGACCCGATCAGCTAAACAAATTGCATCAAATCTTAATGCAAAGTGTAAACCAAATGGTATGGTATGGCTTCAATAGTCAATAAATTATCAGTGGGTGTCAGATTTCATTTATGCTTTCTTGTATTCTACAACAACACTGTTTATGTCTTATGGAATTAGGAGTGCTCATTCTGTGGGACTGCTCTTGACAATTAGCATACATATGCCAAGATTTTTAAGAAGATGTTGGATAACCATTTGTCTGAAGTGGTGTAGGGTTTCCTGCCTGGGCAGGGGGTTGGACTAGAAGACCTCCAAGGTTCCTTCCAACTCTGTTATTCTATTTCTATTTCTATTGCTCCAGTGGCATCTTTCTCCTGGAGTGGTTTGTATGTCTTGCATGCCTACAAGACAAAAGCCAACCGATGTAGAAATGTGTGCATGTTGACTTATACTTTAGTATACTTTAGTATAAGTCTTATAATGCAACTATACTTGAAGAATCTCCTCGCCTTCAAAATGTCTGAAAGCAGAAATTGCAGTGGAGAAATGTTAGTGAGGGGATGGGGCTAATTTCAAATTTGTAACAGATGAACAGGGCTAAAGCCTTCAAGCCAGGGAGTATTTTTAAATTCTTATATCACAAATGCATTGTCGCTTAAAGGGCCTGATTGGTTAACTTTGATAACAATTTGTGTAAATCTTTGGTTATTTCATAATAGGAAACTAACCAGAATATTTGATGTGATGATTGAAAGTTAACAATTGGTTAATCGTCCCACTTCTTTTCCAGTTGAAACTCTGAATACTTCCATGAACAGAACAATTTCCCATCCTGGTGGTCTACAGGTCTGTTGGATGTCATTTCCCTTGACCAGTCTTCAGACTGGCTGAAAATTTTGGAAGCAATCTGTACTGTTTTAGCATAATCTCACATTCTGCACTGGCATATTATGCTTCAGTTGCAGCTTATGTTCTTCAATCAGAATTTCTATCAGCAGGTTGTGTAATGATAGCACAAGCAAAATAACAGAATAATGGAATTGGAAAAGACCTTAGAGGTCTTCTAGTCCAACCTTCTTCTCAAGCAGGAGATCTTCTACCATTTCAGGCAAATGGTTCTCCAATCTCTTTTTGAAAACCTCCAGTGATGGAAAACCCAGAACTTCTGAAGGAAAGCCATTCCACTGATTAATTGTTCTAACTCTCTGGAAATTTCTCCTTATTTCCAGGTTAATTCT